ATGTCTTCTTCGCTCCATCAACCCTGCTAGTCGTTGTCATGACTTCATCTAACATTCAAATCGTCAACTCAAATATGCTAGGAATCTCCAGGCTTCAACCATAACTCCCAACAGATCAAAGTATGTTGATCTATTATGGACTCCTAGCAACATTTTCATTAAAACACATAGCAATGTCCAAACAAACTCTATTCTTTAATTCCTTTGTAACGGTTGGAGGAGGAATAAATTGAGAGTTAATATTTTTTCTTCATCATCATGCAACTCAACACATCTATTTAGTCATCGGGTGCCTCTATTAGAAGAAACAAAATGTCTTACACTACTTGATTCATCATGTTGGGAGCCGAAATATGAACTATTCCTAATCATCTCGTCCATATTTCTTTGTCACCTCTTTAGCGGTGGCTAAGTTATTCAAATAATCAATACATTTTTTTTTTCACTTCATCAGGCACATTCACACAGTCCAATGTTGATATGTATGCAAGCCAAGTGATCCTTAAGCCTCTAACACCCCTAGTTATCCGCTTATCACAAAAAAAAAATGCATTTAATGTAAACATACCTCTAGTTACTTTCACCTGGTTCTTCAACTTGAGTGCCATTCAAAACAATCTTTTTTTTTGTCATCCATCCTTGCCAATCTTTATCTTGAAAAGCTTTAAATCCATCATGCAACATGGCAACAAAACAAGCTCAAAGCTTGCAATAAATGATGGGATTAAGGACCTATAAAAATCATCAAGCAGTAAACACTCCTATATAACCCACTTAGCACATGATGTCAAAATCAGCCTACAACAACTGATGCATTTACAATCAATTAATGCATTTAAAGTAAAATATTCAATCAAATAGCAAAAATGTCGACTTTAAATATGTATGAACTTAAATCCCGTTCCTTCTCCATTTTGCTTAAGCGCACAAAAGGAAGTAAATATTGTTACCTTCGTTGTGAGCTTGTGTCCTACCTTCCAAACTAACAAAAGATCGGCACTGTCGAAGGATCGAAAGAAACTTTATTGAGCTACTCTTTCAAAACTCTACTTCACACGAGGCCGGTGAAGCATGCGAAGTCGAACTTGTGTCTTGGGGACGAGCTTGATGCCAGGTGCCACTTGGTGTTGGAGATGGGTTCGAAGCCCGGATGTTGTTTGCGTGTTGGAGACCAGATCGACGTTGAAACAATACACTGCTGCTCATTGCTCGTGTGTTGGAGACAAACTTGACCGAGACGACTAGGATTAATGAAGAGCTGCTCGCGTGCCTTTCTATCTTGAGAGAGATGCGTTAAGTATGATACATATAAAAAGAATGTAAAGTATTTGAGGTGATGCCACAAAATGCCTCGAGGCATACACTTTTTATGAAAAAGGCATAAGCCTCACAAGAATGGTTGAGTTGAGTCTTAAGCCTCGAATTGAGGAGCCTATTGTTCGCCTCAAATCAAGGCGTAGCCTCGATTGCCTTTTCAAACCCTGTTTCAAACTCAATCTTGAGCAAGGCCTACAATCTTTTGATTTTTCAAGTAAAAGATAGGTTGTGCTACTATCCTCAACATATTTCAGATATACACTAGAATCTTAATTTCTATGTGTTAAGCCTCCATCAATAAAAGAAAGAAAATATTTTGCTTTGCCATGTGGCTCTCATTTTATAGAACCACACTGATTTGAATGCACATAATTTAAATTTCTTTAGAATTATGTTTCAAAGTTGCAAACTTTAACATCTTCTATTTTTCTAGCATTCAATGTTCAAAAAAATCTAAATTACTTGGCTTCTTATTTCCAAATAACCTAGTTTATACAATTCTTCTAGCTCTATTATGCTTACATATTCTAATATTTTCATTAACAAGATTATATGACATGCTTACACAAACCCCTAATCACAATTTTACCTTCCAATGTATACACTACAGTCATATGAATGCCTTTCATGAAGAATAAATAGAATTTTGTTCAAGTTTGGGCTTTCACCATAACATTTAAAACTTTATCCACACCAGTCTAATTCACCAAGAAAATGGAATTTCTTCTAGTTCAAATTGTATCTTACATCCTTGAGTAGCTTTTCCATGCTATCATGGATTTTTTGTCTAATTGCTCCTTCACCTTGAACTTTGTATGAATTGTTATTTTTACGATACATCATGAATTTTTTTTTCATTGAGAGGGAAACTATTTTAACGCCTATGGTTGGAGCATCTAGAGTCTTCTAATCCTTTCCTTCTCTCCACAAGTTTCCATCCCATTGTATCATTCTTTTAAAATTGAGAGTGGTGTTGGTTGGTAAGTTTTGTTGGGATTTACCGGAGGAGTCGTGGCAGACGTTGGATTGGATCAAAGTAGCTGTGGTGGACCACTAGTTTGCATGTCCTTGAGCATTCTATTTAACTATTTTAAAACCAGGAAAGTAGGGAGCAGGAGCAGAAACCGAACAGCCCAACAAGGAAAACCGGGAAAGCAGGGAGCAGAAGCAGAAATCAAATAGCCTAGCAGGGGAAACCAGGAAAGCAGGGAGCAGGAACCGAACAACCCAAAGCAAATGAACAACTCAGCTGCCCCACCTACAAATCCAAGTCAACCCAAGCACAAAGAACCCAAAGAAGCTACACACCAAAGGAAAAAACATGCCCAAGAGCACCTAAACCACACATGCTCATCGGTTGCCTTCCATCATTGGGTAAACAAAAAAATAAAACGTAAAATTACAATAACATAAAAAAAATGATCATTTGAATGCATCAGATTAGGTGGTCAATAATTCAAACAATAAAGTGAGTTCATCATAATTTCATTATTTGGGTAGGCTATTTGCAACCTCCACTAGAAATTTATGATTTTTTTTTTCTTAAAATAAGCGTTAGACCTCTTCTCAAATATGTTTAGGTGGGAGTAAGTTGATTTGTGCCAGAGTAGGAGGCATATGAACTCCTTCCTCTTCGTCAATGATTGAGACCCCTCTGATTGTGATGGAGAACATTTGATGTATTTACAATATCTAGAATGCTGTAAATATGAATTAAATATTCTAGAGTAGGTGGTTCTTTTGGTTTAGTATGGGCGCTAGGACTTTGGGTGTCATTTGGAGGATGAGCTACATTCATGGTCTTGATTCAACATAGTCATGCCCCATTTATTCATGGGCGAGTTGAGTTGCTTGGTAATGGAAGTCAAACAAAAGATCAATAATTTTGTGGTTGCCGTCTTTTAGTTATTAAATTGGTTTTTGAGTGAGTGAGCTGGTGTACCTTTATTAGCTAACTTGTTTCTTGAATTTTTGTGGTATGGTTTGAGGTAGGGTTTTGATGTTTAGAAGGCCAGATATAGTGGGGCCTAGCTTAGGAATCTTCTGAGATGGTTTACTTTGTGTTGTGCTCATTATTCCTATGAGTTATGGTTGAAGATTTTTAGAGTTTTAGGAGCTGATGTCTTATCTAAAGGGTGATTGGACCCTCCGGCTAGAATTCTCGATGAGTGGCAGTGTTTTAATGATGTACTTTAGTCACCAAGCATGGAGATGCTTTCCACTTGCATACTGTGAAGCAATTTTTGGTAGCCAAGGTTATTAAGGTATATCATCTTTAGCTCATACTCAAGTCATGCACACACATGACCAAGAAAGGGTGAGTTTGCTTTTGAGGAGTGGCTGCTTGAAACGAGTCAACTTGAAAGAAAATAAAAGATTGAAATCAATTTTGTAGTCTCCTTCAAAATTTTTAAATACACCTTTGCCTCGATTGGGTATTTATAGCATGTGAATGCGAATGTCATTCTAGTATCTGGGTGAGGTATATGCTTGATCGATGAGCCTTATTGTGTTCAAGATTCTTGTTGGACCAAATACCCTTTGATTGGAGGCATTTTAGTCATCCAATTGATGAAGGTGTGGAGAAGCTTGCACTTTGCCTTTGAGATTCATGTCAAACTATCATAATCATAGTGTGATGATGGATAAATTGATGAAGTCCTTCAATCCTGTGTTTGATGTTGGAGATCTACATTGAACAATTTGATCTAATTAGATGACATTGATATCAATGTTGGTGACGATGTTAATTGGCTGTTGGAATTTACATCAAATCCCCAATATCAAGGCTGATGAATGTGTACTTTCATGAAGTTTTCTTGTTAGCTTCTCAAGAATTTCAACATTATTGAGCAGTTTAGGAGTTAGGTTGATCGTCCTATGGACTCCTTGTATGAAGATTATCGGAGCAGAAATCTTTACATTTCTCTTAATTTAATGATCAAACTTATTTTGGGACAATTTCAGTAGTGCCATATTAGTTCATCTTTTATTTCTAACTCTTTCCACCTCGCACTCTCATTGCATTCATTGTATGCTTCTTATCATCTTTACTTGGACGAGCAATATCTCTTGGTGCTATCAGTTGAATAATGAAGTTTGTATTATTCAGTTTACCTGACCTTTTTTTGATCAAATTTAGCTAATTTTAACGCTGTTGTTAATTTATATGGGCATTCTTTTATCAGAACTGTTTACTGTTGCTCTTTTTCTTTGTTCACTAAGTTTTCACCATGAATTAGAGATCACTAGTGAATTCGCTTTGTTATTAGCCTTATAATCTTTTGTCTTACATAGCAAAAGTTCTACCCTATATACTTTGTTCTCATCACCACTTGTTTATACCACATCCTTAAATCTGCTTACTTCATAATTGACCAACAAAAGTTGCCCTCATTTTTTCCATTTAACTTTTAAACTCTCAAATAATTTAGAAATTTTCTTAGTTGACTAGATAGACGCATTAGAAAAAATGAAAATGTTGGAATATGCACTGTGGTGAGAAATTTAGGTTGTTATATATTGATAACCTTTTGAATTATGAACAATACAACTTTCTTAAAGTGACCATAAGATTGGTGGCTAGACCACCTTTTGTTTGTTAATGCTTCCTTATTTTTTGTTCTATATTCAGAATAACTGTTATGTATAAATGCTTCCTAATCCTTTTCATATAACGTCAGGTTTGGCATAATATAGGCTTGGCATATAGGGATCGACCTGATCTCTCACAGTTGGTTGGAAATTTGTCAGAGAATTTTGAATTGTTGTACGAGAAGGAGGTTCTCTTCTAATCTAGCACCTTTTTATTTTTATTTCTTCCACTTTAAGTATTTATTACTATGCTATGATTTTCTTAATTGCAAATTCATTTTTAATATAATAGAAAACATGTCATGTGTGCATATTGACCATATGTAACAAAGGAAACTTACTTTTACTTAATATGAAAATAGTAATAGATGAACTAATTAATTCTAACTAATTTACCTCTAGCCTCAAACTAACGTGATGCAGGGTAAGTTTGAAAAAAGAAGAAGAAGAAATAATATATTAAAATTGAAACTATTAAGAAACAATAATCTAATAAGCAACCATCACACTTTAACATGGAGATTGTCTCTCCCCAGAGTGTTTCAAGTCTCAAATTCTAGAGTAGGTGAAGAAGAAGAGTCTCCATATTAAAAAAAAATAAAAAAAAAAAATCATGCTATAAACTTTCTTATATTTGTCAGAATTCTTATATTTATTGATAAAAGAAATATTAATCTACTAATAAAATGTTAACAAATTATTAAAAAAGTAGTAAACTACTAACTGATTGCTATCAAATTATTAACTGATTATAACATGAGTTAGAACAATTCTAATAAAATAATAAAATATAAAAAATATAAAAATCTCAAATATTCGTGGCAATAAAATTTATGTTCTCCAGGTGCAAAATGCAATTCTGACGTGTTGTGATAATACCAATGTTTTGAAAATCAGACTAGACCGGCCGGTTCAACTGGTCGGGTGACCAATCCGATCCAGCTTACGGAGCTTCACATCGAATCAGCTCGAACTAGTAGTTCAACCGGTGAACTGGTCCGATTTGGAAAGAATCGACTTGTTATATAATTTTTTTTGTTTTAATTAAATGTTAAATAATATATTTTAGTTTATTAAATTCTGTTATCTTTTTAAAATATTTTAATTAAATATAATGATTAATTACACTTTAATATATGCATATTATTATCTCATTTATTTATATTATATTAATGATCATTAATTTTTAATATTATATAAATTTATATATTATATTAAATATTATTCTTATAAATATTTTTTAATTATAAACATATAAATATATTATTCTTAAATGATATTTATATTTATAAGTTTTATAAATATTATTAAATGCTCATATGTTAATATTATATTATGTTAATTTTATTAATTTTTAATAATAATATTATTATTATGTCATCCAGTTCGACCTTGGTTCGACTAGTTCCGGGGTTGAACCGGTTGAACCGTAAACCTTTCATTCTTCTGGTTCATTGTTTGGTCTAGTTTTCACAACCTTGGATAATACAACCAAAGTAAACATTATGTTCAATCAACCATGGATTATCACTTGTTAGTGGTAATTCTAGTGGAGTTTTGGATGTTGTGATCTTGAAAGAACACTAGTCATTAAGAGAGTGTAAGAATCGGCGTGCTACTACTTAAAAATCTGAAAAGTCATCTTGATCAGATTGCTCAATTGAACCTGGACTTTGTTGATGCTTTTGATCGTGATGATTTGAATCTATTGAGTATAAGATGAGTTGTAGATGGCGGATTGTCTTACTAGAGAGATTCACAGTTGATTTGTGTGGTCCGGTCAGATTTTTTTTCCTTCATTTTAACTTTTTTTTTTTCAATTTTTATTTTTTGTTTGGCTGGTGTTGTGTGGGTATAGAAAAGATTTGTTAGAGTAGGATAATCATGTATATGTTTTAAAGGATTATTGACTAATATCCATTTGAATATTACTTTGATTAATGCTACTTTTATAACTATGATGGTAATGATTGGATGTTTGACCTAATGTGACATTACTTTTTGAAGTCTCATCTTAGGCCCGGGAAGGAGGAAGAATTGAATTATATTGTCCTATCTGCTTACAATTTCTTCTAAGATTCTTTTGGTTGGCGGAAATCAATAAGGTTTAAGAAATTAGGATGATAATTTTTAGGACTTTGAATTGAAATTTGAATTTGAATAGGGATAATTATATGGAAGATAGGTTTTGAGAAAGATTGCTAGAGGAGAGAGATAAAATCTGTATGACGTAGAAAACAAGGGTTTAAGGAGGGTTACTGTTATGTGGAATGTAAATTGCTATTCATGAACATGATTGTAATATTAAAGGAGGGAATTGCTATTGTTTTGGGGAAAAAGAAAAACTCTTATAAAAGTTGATTTCAAAAATATTGCATAAATAGCAATCTAAAATTGTAGCTCTATTACAAATTTGATGCATGCATGCCTTGAAAAAAATCTGCAATAGATAATATTGAAGAGGGAAAAGATGAAAAAAATTAAGAAATAATTATTGGGTAAGAAAGCCTGCCTTTTGAATAGGGAGATTGGTTATAAAAGTTTTAGAGCTCAACTCTGAACAACAATCAAATCTTAGAGTAGATGAAGAAGAGTCTTCTCATGCAAAATGAGAATTTTATTCATGTCATAAATTATCTTATATGACTTGAATTTATTGATAAAAAATAGTAAATTTCTAGGGAAATTGATAATAAGCTGATTCATTTCTAACAACTTGTTAACAAAAAGGCTAATAAATTAATTAACTTGACTAGAACAATCTTGATTTGATAATATAATCTAAAAATATAAAATAAGTCAAATATCAATGAGAATAAAATTTCAAATTTATGTCTATCTCAACTTTTCTCATGTAACGCTTTGGTCATTAAAGGGCTTGGTATCCTTTCTTAAGATCTAGCAGACATTTTTGAACTATCTGATACTAGGTTGCTATGTTTAAATATGGATGTGGTTAGATATGCGGATTGAATTTTCTTTGTACCCCTATGTTTTTTTTTGTGAATCGCATCCTGACTTCCTTGGAAAGTTTTTTGTCATTAAATTCTAAACCTGCACATATTTATTCTCAGATTGCTCGAGTTCTGAGAGAATATTGAAATATTTTTTTTTGTAGGCTCTCTCTATAGTAGTTTCTTTTTTTTATTGAGTATTTAAATTTTTAGATCACATTCCTCCTTTCAGATCGGAAAGAGGGTAAATGATTTATTTTCTTACTAAACTCGTGATAGGATATTTTATATAAATCTTCGAGATCTATGCTAGTGCTTGATGGCCTAATTAATGGGTATTAATTTTCTTTTGTAATGTAGTGAATGTGATGGGGACATCAATGCATAGAAAGTTTATCATAGAAGGGTCGTAGATCGACGACCACGATTGTCATGACCCGGCCCGGTGAGCTCTTGTAGACGAGGCGGGAACGAAATTGCACGTTCAGAACATAAAATTTTCTTAAAACATGCATTGAATTAATCTAAAAGATTTCACAAGAAACTAAAAGCGTCTCTAAAAATTTTCCAAATATACAAAATATTTCATATCATTTTATATCACTTCAAGAGAGGATTTACATGTACAAAGGTGGTTACAAAACTTAACATTTATGCCAAACCACCCAAAAAGGTGTAAACTACAACTAAGAAAAACATAAAAAGAACGTATCAGCTGGTCCTCTACGACTGTAGGTGAACCAAGGGTGATCAGCCATTCTTTGCAGCTGGTTCTCCTGAAAAGTATCCCAACACGAGGGAGTGAGCTAACGCTAAATAGGAAAACTCTAGCCCTAACATTTTCACATGCCTTTTAAAATGAAAATTTTCATATATGCTAGAGGTGAAATGCCTTGATTGTTTTGCTACACACGATAGTTCTTATGTCTTATGAATGTTAGATGCCTTATGTATGTCATATGCCTTATGTATGCCATGTGTCTTATGGATGTCATAGTTTATATATGTCATAGCTTATGTATGTCATATGCTTACTCATGTTTTATCTTATACAACCGTATCGGAGTATCAGGAGTGTACTGATCGGATACACAAATATTTTTTTGGCAATTCATTTCTTTTTCTCTTTTCCCCAAAGGGCCATTTTATTCCGTATTGCTCATAAGGGCCATATTTGTGCTTTCGCACCATATTTGGTACTCCGCCTTCAACATGCACAATCATTTACATAATCTTTCTATAGAAATATAGGTATGAAATGTAGCATTTTGATAATAACTATATGCCTTGATCATGAAGTAAGTGCATGAAAGAAACTTCTATGAAATGGTTAGAATTTTAAACATCAACTATGCATTTGCTATGTATCAAATCAAAAAAATATATACATTTGTTATGTATCAAATCAACTAAAGATATGCATTTGTAATGTATCAAATCAACTAAAGATATAAAACATAAAAGAACAATAAAATCATAAAGAACATGAATATGTAGAATAAGAGATTCCTATCTCAATTACCCTTTGAAAGTCTTCAGTTCACCAACTTCTCCTTAATTTCTCTTTTCAAAACCTAAGGGAAACATTACAACATAAGCCTCATATGTCAATTCAAACCGCTATATCACAATAACCCTATACATGTCATTGCTAATTATTCCCCTTGAACACATTATACTCATTCTCCTACCCATACCCTCAAGATAAAAGGGTACAACAATAACAACAACATAAGATATCATTTATACATCATCAACCCTACACAATTCATGATTTTAAATAAATTATTTTCGGATTAAAATTATATAAAAATTTAAAAATATTCTTTTCTTTTCAAATTATAATTTTTGCTTCATTAGAGGCTTCTCAAGTCTTTTAGAAATAAATTTAGTTATCTCAAAGCTTACAATTTGAAATTTTGGAAAGCCCTAATGTGGAAACTCCAAATATTCTTAAGTAAAACTTTGGATTTCAAGGTAATTATGCTTCTAAATCCTTCCTAACCTTATTCCTAAAACAAAAGAAAATTTTCAAGGAGTATACACACATACAATCCCTAACACTTTCCTATGAATGCCTCAACATATAAGCCAAAACCCTAATTTGAAATCTAAAGAAAATTAGGGAAAAAACATATTCTTTACATGAAAACCTTCCCTCAACTTCCTACACTCTTTTCCCTTTCAAAAACCTTAGGAAGTTGAGGGAAGGTTTTCATGTAAAAAATTTATGT